TCCTGACCTTGTGTGCAGTCTGCGATGTAACCGGTGTGCACTCAAGTGACGATGAGGACCATCATGAGAAAATGATAATGACCTCAGGGTTATGCGTGCCACGCCTCCTACCTGCCAGGCACCAGGCTGTCTCACGTACATGCTGCCATTTAATTCTGCCTCAGTAAGAAGAGGTGGCATCGCACGCGCACACACACGCACGCGCACACATACACACACACACCCGGGGCTCAGAGTGGTCAGCAACTCATGCCTGGAAGGTACGTGGTGAATCACGGGCCAGCCGGTCACACCACACAGCTGGGACTGCTCTCTGCACCACGCTGCCCCTCGTGCCCCAGGGCCACAGGGCTCCCCAGGCAATCCTTGGGCAAGATGAGAAATATTGACTTTCTCCCTTCTCTGACCCCTGTCTCAGTAATGTAAAATGTGTCCCCTCCACTGTGGAAGAGGGGACCAGGTGCACACACCAACACGCACACATGCACACACATGCACACACATCCATGGTGCACATCCAGGGCTCTGCACCCCTAACTCCACAGCCCTGAAATGTGGTAGGAAACTCCTCCAGGCCCACGCGGAGGACCAGAGACAGCACAGGGACCAGCAGCTTGAGACGTAGCACAGGCAGAAAGAGTAAGACCGTCCCAAAGAAGCCTGGCAGACGCTCCCAGGGCACTACTTCTCGGGTCCTGCTCCTCTTCTCGGGGTGCTGTGCCCACCGTGACACTTCCCTGTCTCCTGTGCCTCTGCCGCAGTGAGTAGGGCTCTCCCAGGGGATGTCCTGCTGCCCTGTACCTCGGAGAAGACAAGAGACAGACCACGCTGCTGGCCCCGGGCTCCGGCAGTGGCTCTCTGGGTCATCTGGTGCTAGTCCACTGGAGGCCACGGGTTTCTTCTTTTTCCACCATGAACGCATATCGTGGGCGCTGGTGAGCAGTCCTGCCCACAGGTTTCATCAATCCAGGTCGAGTGTCCCTGGTCTGAAATGCCTGGGGACAGACGGAGTCCGATATTGGCTGTCTGCACAGACCTACTGAGATACTTGCAGGCTGGGCCCCGAGTCTCGAGACAGAACTCATTTAAGCTTCACATACAACCTTATACTCATAGTCCGAAGGAAACCTTATACCATGTTTTTAGAGCACTGTGTTTGACTCCGACCCATCGCGTCAGGTCAGGAGTGGAATTTTCCACTTGTAGCACCACGTTGACACTCAAGAAGCTTCGGATTTGGGAGCATTTTAGAATTTTATATTTTCAGAGTGGGACTGCTCAGAGTGTACTAGTGACCATTTATGGACAGCCTTCCCACGGCCAGGCCCGCGTCTGAGGGGCTTTTCTCATGCCCATATTGCACTGGAGGGAACAGATGGACTCACCCCAAGTCCCAGATCTAAAACTGGGCAGGTCAGAGACCCGAGCCCAGGTCACCTGGCCCCAGAGGCCACACTCTCACCTGCAATGCCACGCCACCTCCTGGGGAGCCTGTCCACTCACGAAAAGGACAGAACGGGTCCCACACCAGCAAAACAGGTCACGGTTTACCTCCGTGGCCCCGGGAAGTGCTCTGTGCATGGCGAAGGGACAGATGTTTAATAACTTCGCAGTTGCAAGGAGGAGGTTACATAACTCGGCTGAGCTATTTTTGAACTTTGAAAAGAGCAGTCAGCATTTTCCAAAGTGTCCTCTGCAAAACGAGGAACATTAAACATAAAGGAAATCTCCCCTACTGTGCTCTTGTGAAGCTGTGGGACAGAAACAGGTGCGTGGTCACGTCACCCACACACCCTCCCTGGTAAGGAGCCCCCTCGTAGGAGCCCTTGTGCCTGGCCCAGCCTGACCTGGGTCATATTGCTGTAATATCCTGCCCACACAAGACCACGCACAAAATCATGGGCAATGCCCCTGAGGGCCACTGGCTCAGCCCGTCAGAACGGACACCGGAGCGCCAGTCGGGCATCTTGAGATGGGCAGCAGCAAATTCATCCAACTCTCTGAGGCTCTCTGCCTCTTCCCCGTCACACAGGGGACATCTTGAGAGCTGTGTACGTGGCCATCACTCTGCCAAGTGAGACTTCTTCCTCCAGCTTTAAAGCTTGAAGTGAGAAGACCCTCCCTGGAGAGTCCTGAGGTCCCGCTACGCACGGGGGTGGATCCAACGCGGGCTGCACACCTAGGTGTCCGTCACAGGGGAATGACCAGGTGAAAGATGAAGTGCTCACACAACAGGACGCAAGGCAGCCACCGAGAGGAACACACGACGATATGTCCCCGTCACAGAGGGGACTTCCAATCGCAAGGTGGAGGCAACGGGAACTCCGACCTATCAGGAAGAGCGGCGGCCCGGAGTGCCGGGCACACGAGGCTTTGCCTGAACTACAAAAACGTGCGCGGACGTGGATGCGTGTCAGACTCAGGGAAGTAGTTTCCCTCCCATGGAGAGGAGGAGAGAAAAGCACAGCCAGCGTGAGGTGTGATCAGAGTTTACATGATCATTTAATGTTTTATTCCGTTTAAAATGTGGGAAAACGGGACGCATCAACCTTCATTCTCTGTGACGAGGACTGGGTATTCCATCAGACCCTGCACTGTTTTCTTTTTCAATATTTAAAAGAAATAAACAAGCATTCCTGTTACCTGAGTTTGTCTTTAGATAGATCTCTCCTGTCTTTACCTCCCGTCTTGTCAGTATGGTGTCTGGGACAGAAGTTACGCCTTGGTCATCTGTGCGCTCCAGGGCGAGCACGGGTCTGTTGGACGGAAGGACTGATGGATGCAGACAGACACAGTGTGTGTGATTTTTTTTTAACTGCTTCCTGGCTTCCTCCAGCTGTCAGTCAAGGGCAGACTGACAGGTGCCAGTCTTTCCTGAGGTGGTGTAAAGAACAGCGTGGGGTGGGGGAGGGGTGAGCGCCAGCCCTCGGGGACAGAGGTGCTTCATCACACCCCTGGCGGTGGAGGGCGACTTAGAGAGTCGCTGTGTGGCTTTTCTGGGCTGAAATGGCATTTACAAAATTGCTGCATTCAGAGGTACGACTCCTGGAAGGGGCGGAGCAGCTCCCAGCAGCGGGGTTTCTCTCCCTAAAGAATGCCCTCCGAGGTGGTCCCTGGAAAGACCTGGATGTCTGCCAATTATCCTCCCCGAGTTTCCTTTCCTATATAGATTACATTTCAATTGCCTTACAATGGAGTTGTGTTCTGTCAAAATGCCACATCCTGAATAGCCCGGCTGCAGGGCACGTCTCGTTAAGGAGAGCGCGGATTCATTAGCCCAGTCCCTGACCTGGGCTCGCAGCAGCCAGCCTCCAGAACCAGCGCTCGGGTCTCATCCTGAATCCCATCTGGACAAGGACTTGGAATACCAAACACGACGTGGCAGAAGCAGGATGGTAAAGAGGGGAGAGGAGCGGGGAGGGAAACCTCAAAGGAGCAGCTTCCTTAACCCAGGTTCGTTTTTCAGGTGTATCACACACACAGCACACATCATGTACGTGCACACACACACGCACACGCACACCCCTTAATTCCCAATTCACAGGTGACCTCTGAAATGTCACAGAGTCCTAGAATCTTCCCGAGACACGACAGATTGGCAGTACCCTGCTGGCAATCGACAAACAAGCTCTCCTGACTTTCATTTCGATGACCAAAACCTTCACTTGCGACTCTTAAGGTTGTAAAATGATCACCAGCTGCAGGCACGGTGCCAAGCAGCACTGCCCCAGCATCTCACTGAATCCTCATGACAACCCCCCGAACACGGTTCCCAAAGCCTGGTCTTCAGGCCAGCAATGTCCACACCACCTAGGAATGTGCCATCATTGGAAACCCCTGAGAATCGCCCCACACCTAGGAATATACTTGAAATTCTGAGCGTAAGGCCCAGCAACTGGCATTTTTACAAACCCCCCAAAGATCCTGGTGGGTGCTAACGTTTGAGCATGACCTCCTCAGATACAGGCGACATCATCGTCGCGTTGCGATAAGCACCACAAAGGAGCGGTGATGGTCTCGTCCTACAGACAGTGGGCCAGGTGGAGCTGGAATCCGGACAAGTCCCTACACAGCGCCCCCTGCTGGCCACCTGAGAAATGAGCACAGATCAACCAGGGAACTTTAGGCAGAAACATGCGAATGACGTCCCAGTGAGACGCTAAATCTCAACAGCTGGGCCATAATGACAGGCCACAAGGTACAGCGACACTTCCCAGAAACAAAATGTAACGTCTACCCTGATGGGAATGGTTAAATAAATTATGATACATCCAGATGACGGAGTGCAATGCCGTCTTAGCACTGATGCTTGCCAAGATCTCCAATGACCTACGAAAATACTTAGACACAAAAGAGATCCAGCCCACCCGTGGAGGCAGCCTCCCCAAAGCATATCGGGCTGCTGCGGATGTGGGAAGTGGGCCGGTTTCACAAAATGCTGGTGTGAATGTAGAGGGTCCAGTTACTTGGTAAGCACAATTTGGCAATAGATACTCAAAAATGCACCTGCCTGATGACCCTCCAAACCCCACCCTTAGACTCAACCCTAGAAAAACAATTGCACATGTGATTCAAGAGACAAGTGTGATGATTATCCTTGGCGTTCCACTTCTAACGGAAAAACAATCTGGGGGAAGAAAACTAAATTCCTATCATTATGCAGATTCGAAAAATAAACCATGGCATATCCATATTGAAGAATATGATATGCACATTGCAAAGAATTTAGATAGACTTGAGATATAATTACGATAAATGGTCGACAGATAGAGTTTTTGAATTTAAAAAAGTTGTAAAAAAATGAAAATAGGATGATATATATCTCAAAACAAGATGGGAAGAAAACAGGGCAGAATCAAACAAAACAAAACGTCTGCTCACACACAACAGTCTCTGTTTTCAGAGCACATTCATCAACGAGTATGTAAACAAGCAAAAAAAAAAATCGGGGCAACTAAACCCTGCGCCCACTCTGGGAGCAAGCAAAGACCCTCTCTTACTGGTGCAGAGTGTGAGTCGGGGTCTCCGGCTTCTCCGTCTGCCCGTAGCAGTTGGCCTTGGCCTCGGGGATGTAGGAGAACTTGTCCAACATGGAGGACGCAGCGGTGGTCAGGATGCCCAGACCATCCCTCACCCTCGCCTCCAGGCTGTAGTCCCAGTCGTCGTAGGAGACGGAGATGAGTCCCGATGGAAACTCTTTGGGGATGAGCTCCGTGTTCCCAGAGACCAGGCTGGGGACGATCCAGAAGAAGTCATAGCCCGTGAGGCCCAGGGAGCGGGCCTCGCTCAGGATGAGGACGGCCTCGTCCTTGGAGCAGTAGAGCAGGATGACGGAGGAGTGGATCTTCTTCAGCTGGACTTGCGTCTTGGCGTCCTCGAAGGACGTGTCCAGCGTGATCACGTTCTGCATGTCCCAGCCCACGAAGCTGTTGTCCACCGTGGTCTTGATGAAGCTGATGAAGTCCCTGTAGCCAGGGAAGATGGTGGTCACCAGGGAGAAGACGTGCCAGTCGTAGTCCTGCATGATCTTGAGCATGACCGTGGCTTGCTGCTGGATGGACGCTCCAAACTGGAAGAAGGTGGACGTCGGGTCCTGCCAACAGGGAAAGGAAAGAAAGCCGAGGGTGAGCGAGGGGCATGGACAACCATCTATCTGTCTGTCTAGGCTCAGAGAGGGCCCCTCCTACAGCCAGGGGAGGCCAAGCACGCATCTACCCATTTAAAACCATTCCTGAGCACCTACTGTGTGCCAGGCTCTGGAGCAGATCAGGGAGCTGCAGGGAAGGTGCTGCTCTTGAGCCACCCCCACCCGCTCTCCTTCCCTCCATTCCTCCTTTCCCACCTTCAAGTCCATCTGGGTCCCACAGAACAGCTCTCCCTGGCCCCAGGCTCCTACTGGGGAAAGGGAGCAGCATCAGGAAACAGATTCACAGGACACACCCGAGCCCTGGAGTGTGCCATGCCTGAGGCCATCAGCCCTGGACCTCTTGGCTACAGGGACCAACAAGTTCCCGTGCCACGTAGGCCCCTCTGAGTCGTGTTTCTGTAACACCAACTGAAGGCTCTCGTGTAATAGATGCGACGTGAACGTCAATGTGTTCACACCGACACTCACAGGTTGAGCTCCTCTGTGCGCCAACTTCGCGATAGACCTTGGAGATCGTGATTAGGAGGCAGATCCCCACGAGGTCGCTGCTTTCATAGACCTGGTGGAAATGTGGGGACGAGCAAACCGGGACCAGTGACCGAGAGAGGCCGGCAGGAATGTGGAAGGAGGATTCAGGCGAGACACCCCTGGGGGGCATGACAGAGGCGTCCCGAGGTGCATTTTGAGGGTTCCAGGAACTGTAGACAAGGGCATTCTGGCCCCAGGAGTAGAAAGGGTAAATGATGTTAAACACTTTGGCAGGAACCCCACTGTGTAGGGCCTCGAGGGCTGCAGGCAGAGACCCAGAGCCTTCCAAGCACAAGAGGCGGCGACCACCAAGTGTCCACACCCTGCGTGTGACACGGGGATGTGCACTGGCTAAGGGTTCTTATCAGTCCTGACGTCTGCAAAAGTCTACGAACACGAGACCAAACTTTCACTCAGAAGAGCAGGCCACGGTACATCCGCAGCCTGCTCCGTGCTTCAAAGCCCCAGAAGGATCCCAGGAAGTTCTCATTTATGGGTGGGTGAGGCCGAAAACGGCCACACGCCCAGTCAGTGTCCGAACCCTGTCCTGAGACCCCAGGCCCAGTCCCCCGGCCCACACTCCCCCACGGCCTCTTGGGGTCCTTTAGGGTTGGCACAGGACTGATGCGTACACCGTGGGAGGGTGGAAAACTGCCACCAGGCAGAGGGTGGGCCCTGTGTCAGGATGCGGGAAACGCCCAGAGTCCCCAGGGTCCTGATGGCGTTGCAGCCGCGTGTCATTCTGCACTGTGTGCCGGCCTGTCTAGCGCCACCTCCGCAGGAGAGCACACGGGACCCCACTGTGCACACGCACACGCGCTCGAGGGGCACGGGTCGCCTGTGTCTTTCGGGACGGTGCTGCAGCTGCGCACTGAGTCCTGGAACGGGTCCACCCTCTCCCGTGGACGGTCACAGAAGGTTGTCTAAATGGCCAGACCTCTGTGTGCTCTTTTCTGAAATGTGTGGTTTGGGGACGATCTGGGTGCTATGGGCCCAAAGGCAGAGAGAAGAAACAGGGACAAATAAATGCTTTCTGGGCTCCTTCCCGCATCACAGTTCTGTGAATTTCACCTCATTAAATCAATTAAAATGGGTAACAGATTTAAAGACTTTGAATAATTATCTTTTCCCTACAGTAGCTTTTGCAGAAATCCAATATTCTCGAATTGATTAATCATGTTAAATCACATCTCAACAAGACTGTGAGAGCCTCAAGGGCAGAGAGACTGAAGTCTGCGTCTCTTTGTCCCTGGAACCTCACGGAAGGCTTGGCCCGTGACACACGGAGAAGAGAAGGATGGGGGTCCACGGCAGTGACAAGCGTGTAGCCTCAGAGAACGTCCTGGCTTTAAACAGAAGGTGGCAGGGGAGGGCTCGGTCCCCGGCACGGCATTTTGAAGGGACCTTCAGCGTTGAGTCCCAACCAGACAAAACGTCCCACACCATCACCACCATCTCCACCCACCCGGAAACCACTCCTCCTCCCAAAGCCCTAAACACATTTTAACGCACCTTTACTGATATGCAGGGGAATAGCGGAGGCCGGTGAGCCCACAGGTGTCCCTCAAGCCTCTTTAAGTACCAAACAGGGGAGAAACCCAGAGACCCTACCAGCAGAGCAGGGCACCAGGGTCAAGTCTAGGGGATCTGGAACAGGACCAAAATGCTCCAGGGTCTCCCTGGTAAGAGGGGTGGTCTGAGGAAGCCGACCAGCAGAGCTACTCCTGGACCATGACAGGCCGCAGGTGGGCATTGTCCCGGGTGGAGGACACAAGACATGGAGAAAGTCCTCAGGAGGACGCACACCAAGGGCACAGTTAGGACCCAATAACAGGGGGCTTTGAGACAAGCCACAGGCACACACCCCCTGGGACCACCATGTCGGAGGAGAGGTGGCGGTCACACGGGCCAGGTGCAGCCGGAGTGGGGATCTTCCAAGACCCTTGCTCCAGGCACGGTGGGCTGGATGTTACGAGCTGCTTAAGGCACCCTGCAGAGCCGCCAGTGAGTGCCGTCTTTCCTAGCTCTCCCCGCACAGAGGATGGCGTGGCGGGACTGGGGACTTTGTGAAGGAGAAAGACCATCACAGGGATGGCAGTTCATAGCCCGGAGCCAGCCAGGCACAGGCCATCTGTGAAAGAGAATGTAAAAACCCTGGCCTTGTGCCATCCTGTCCTGCCACACTTCAGAGCCAGCCAACGTCTCCCGTGACTGTCCCGTGTGGTCCCCATTAGCTGCCCCTCCCCCAAGACGGCTCAGAGCAAAACTTCTGGGGTCAGACTGCCCAGTTCCAGTCCTAGCCGCACAGCCTTGGGGAAGACCATTCAACCTTTCCAAGCTTGGCAGAGCAGGCGTGACTGTCACACCGAGTGTCACAGCTAGCACGCAGAAGCACTTCCTCTACAAGAGTCACGTTGCTCACTAATGTCTAGGGACTGCTGCGTCCAGTGCCACCCCAACCACTGTACCAAGCTGGCACCAGCGTCCCACCCCATTTTCAAACAAAGACACAGACCAGAGGAGAAGGGACCACTGGTGGAGAACCAGGTGTGTCAGCCGTTGGCGTCCCAAGCTCTTCATTCCTGCACCATCTCGTCGCCACGATGATCCTTTCCCATCAAGACCTAAGAATTCAATGTCCCCTACATGGGACCGTGCAGAACAGCACTCACTGCAAATCAAGTGCTCACAGACGGAAGCCAGGGCCTTCTCCCCACAGGCCAGGAACCCTTTGGAATAGGGGATCACGCTACACCACCCGGAGTGCACGGATGTGGATCATCCTGACGGCTGATGTATGCTGCCTCATTGAATTCCTATAGACTGACCCTAACCAAGCCCCCCCTCTGCTCTACAGCCACCAATGGCTCCCATGGCCCACCACATAGGGCCAGACGCCCCAGCCTGCTCCTTTATGGGCACCAGCCTAGCTTTATAGTTGATCCCAGTTCAAGTCCTGGCTCTGCACTAACTAATCCTGGGACTTGGGTACATTAAGCACCCAACCTTTCTGGGTCTGAGCTTCCTCACCTGTAGAAGGGACATTTTGACCATGGCACCTGGAGAAGGGACATTTCGACCATGGCACCTGTACAATGGACATGATGACCATGGCACCTGTACAATGGACATGATGACCATGGCACCTGTAGAAGGGACATTTCGACCATGGCACCTGTACAATGGACAGGATGACCATGGCACCTGTACAATGGACATGATGACCATGGCACCTGTAGAAGGGACATTTCGACCATGGCACCTGTACAATGGACATGATGACCATGGCACCTGTACAATGGACATGATGACCATGGCACCGTGGGATGAACCGACAGGAGTGGGAAGCCGGTCCCGCCCTGTCCGACTCCCGCTGCCCGGGGCTCCTCTCTGCATCCTCACCCCCCAGGCTGCCGGGACGATCCAGAACTAAGGGGTCCTCATGCCACTGCAGAAACCCACCCCTCTGGCCCACTGCATGCTAATCCCTGTTGCCCCTGCAAACCGGCTCGTGCGCTCTGAGCCCAGGGAGCCCGGGAGGAGGGTAAGGAACTCTTTCCTGGCCATCATGAATCCACTTTTTGGAAAGAAACCATCACTGATGCCCTTCATGTGCCTCAGATGATTATGCTGCACCACTTTCATTTCCACGGGCATCTGGAACTTCAGCTTCAAACAAAAAGCACGGTGCATCAAAGGCTCTGTGTACTCCCAGAGGGATGGTGTGAGGAGGCACTTGCAAAACTTAATTGCAGGAACAGGCACTGAAGACGCTCGCATTGGGGCTTTGCTAAGGTGATTTTAGGGACTGGTGGGGGCTGGGGAGTCTGGCCACGGTCCAAAGGCCAGAGCTGCAGAACGGCCCTTCCGCCTCCGCTCGCCCTTCCCACTTCCCGCCCTGATGGTAGAGGCAGAGTCTCCTGCTACTGCCTGGACTCGGGACACCAACAGACAGTCTCTGACCCCCTCTGGCATGTGGCTTCCTGGGGATGCGCAGCCAGGGGAGAGGAACAGATTTCCAACACCCACTTTGGTTCTGAAGCAGGAGCAGTTGTGTCCCCAGGCTCAGGCTCTGCAGAACAGACTGTTTCAAACAGAGCGAGGGAGGCCGGGGGTGTGGGGCTCTGGGTGTCTGTCTGCTCCAGACTCCGCGTTTCAGGCCTACCATCCATGCGGTCTCAGGAGAACAGGTCTAGAGCATTGAACCCTTTCCTAGAATGTTCCAGAGCTGGCCGAGTCCCTAGAATGACATCCAACTCCATGGTCATTCCCGGGAGTCGCTTCAGATCCTAGTACAATGATGGACATGCAGGAAGTGCGGCCCTGTCCCCAGGCTGGGATCAGAGGCTCGTGACGACTTTCATTTCACTGACCCCCTAAGTGATCCCAAATGCCCGAGAAAGAGAGGGCCAGCCGCA